CAGTGGAGTTAAGACTATGCACTGGGCTCTCCTAGGAAGCTCAAGTTGATTTGTCTTGTGATAAACTTGAGAGAGAGGGGAAGGCACGGTATTTATCTTATTCTGCTCAGCACCTCAGCTATCCATGATGGGCCTCACTCAGGCACACGTCCCACTGAACCAAAAGTAGCCAAATGAAGAAGGTGAGGGTCCACCTTAAGTCCTGGGCCCTGCCAACGTGTGCTGGTTGTTTCCTTTGGAAACAACACAGCCGTGCAGCATAGGACTGAAAGGGCTCACCGAGTCCAGCGAAGGGTAGGGCTTCCCAGCCTGGAGCTGGACTACAAAGCTGTTTTGCAGCTGGGAGGTAGGATTTCCTAGCCAGCAAACACAGTGGGTCCCCCAATGTTGGTCAACCCCAGCTGGCTGCTCCCTGAAGAGCATGCAGGGAAGGGCACACTCATTTAAAGGAGGGTGGGAAGCTGCATACACCCTACAGGGCGTGCAACATGCCCACCTGCAGTTCCTAGGACTACCTTGTAGAGAGAGCAGGCACGGCCCCTAAACACCTATCTATCTTGCCATGCACTGGTCACTGAGCCTGACTGTGGACCTCCGTCCAACACAGCCTTCCAGCGCTCTGCCATTTGCATCCTTCCCTTCGCACGGAGCCAAGGCTCTAGAAGAAGCACCTGGGAGTGAGCTGCTGCTCTGCCTGTGGCTGCAAGCGGGGCAGGGGGCTCTGCTGGATGATCCCTTTAATTGGGTCCCTTTCTAATACTGTTGTGTGGACTCTTTGCTGCGTGTTTTTTACCAGCGCCTGTCATGAGCCTTTCGTCTCAGCTTCAAACAGCCAACTGGAGCCTGGGATCTTGATCTGCAGTTAAAATATTCTGAGCTGCACGATCAGTGAAGATTGCCTCCAGACACATCTGCTATCGCTGCAGCAGTTCTGTGTGGCTGGAGACAGCTGGTGCTGGCTTCTTGGTGTCTGTCTGCCTCCCCCCGTCCCCCAGCCATGGCTCACACACCCAAATTGGTGTATAAGGCTCCTGCTGGCGCCAGGTGAGCTGTGTTTGCATGCTGCTGGAGTTGCCTTACCTACAGCTTTGCAGTTCTTGGACAGGGTGTCCATCTCGTAGCCCTTGTAGCACTCGCATTTGTAGTCCCCCTTGTAATTAATGCAGATCTGGCTACAAGCGTCTGGATTCTCACATTCATCTATGTCTGAAAGGAGTGTTTGAAACCCATCAATAACTCAAAATCAAACCATCTGTGATGGAGCAAAGCTGGAGTAACTATAATTGCGTCTCTGTACAGCGAGACACAAGGCACTGCTGTTCGCATGTAAATTACCTCCACACGTTTTCTTATCCAGAAGCTTGTATCCGGGAGGGCATTCGCATTCATACCCAATCTTCAAGTCCTTGCATATGTGGGAGCAACCACCGTTGTTGTTTGAGCATTCATTGAGGCCTGGAAGAGGCACACACATTATGTAGGAGAAAGGAAGGGTCTTACAAGAGCGACTACAATAAAAGAGGGCCAAGGCACCCAGAAATGTTTCGTCGGGTACTAGCAGCCGGTGGTCAGGAGCCGGCTGTACAGCGCATACAAGCGACTGCACAAATAAGGAGCAGCCACCCTCAGACTAGAAAACAGTGCTTTTAAAATGACCCAACACGTTAGGGATGCTCCATATGCAGTTCCTGCGTCTCCGGTATCCGCCCACCCCCGCCGCTCCTCCCTCCATGTGCATCTACCGGATTTTAAACCCTGCAGCAGTCACAGCACCTGAGAGTTTTCTCCACTCGACTCCCCGCTACCTCCCCCTGCTCTGGGGGTGCTCGCTGGATGGTTTCCTCAAGTCTCATCTGAACCACGGGTCCCTGCCAGTCTGAGATACTCCCCAGCTTATACCGCGATGCACCCTGCACTGAGGCAGTCCTAAAACACCAAGGCAAAGTGCTCCAAGGGTATTCTCAGCTAACATGGAGATGCAGACACTTAGCTAGTAGTGCGGCAGCCTCCTGCTCACACCCGTGGGCTGTCTATACAGCGAGAGTCCAGCCCTCAAATCCTGGTTAAATAAATGGAGGCCTCTTTTTTCCTTTGCACGTTCAAGTGTTGACCCTCGAAGCACAGCCTAGCCACCTCTCCGCAGCGAGAGCCAAGGAGGGGCGGAGGAAGGCTGTTTTCCTGCCAAAAATGAGGTTTCCCTTTGCTGGCCCACGTTGTCCTAATTAGCTGGCACCCAGTGAAGAGAACGTGCTTCCCGGGACGGCTGTGCATTGGGGGGTGGGGGGGGCCTCCCCTGCAGGGGCACATCGGGGCTGTGGCCCATCAGCTCCTGCCCGCAATGCAAGCGACAGGCGAATCGGTCTGTTTCTGTTTTAATCCACCCCGGCTTCCTCAGCTCCCACCGTTCAGCTGCGCAGCAAAGCCACGAAGCCGGTCCCCACGGCAGGAAACAAGCCGGTTACGTTCACAAGGCGGTGGAAACGCTGTGCCAGAAGGACTGCCCTCAGCCACAGCACACCTCCAGCTGCCTAACAAAGACATCAGCTCACGCATCAACACGTCATTAATAGCAGCCGGTTCAGGAGGCTCCGAGCAGCAGTGCACAGAGTCGTGGCAGTGCTGTAGCTGCTCGCTGACATTCATTAGCTGTGTATTGCCTATTGCTGCCCTTATATTGGCCTCCAGCCAATTGAACGCTGTATGTGCCTGTACCCCCTGCCCCCCTTCCTCCTGGAAATGCGATTGGAGGCCGCTGCAGTTTGCACAACGCTGCGTGCTGCCCATGCTCCTGGCTTCAGCCGTGGTTCCTAGCATGGCTGGACACACTCATTCCAGCTCTGGTTCTCTTGCTGCAGCCCTTCATATGGCCCCTGGATGGGGCTCCTGGAGGGCTCAACCTTGGCTCTGCCAAGGGTCTTGAGTGCACCCCCCTGCTTAACAGGCTGAGACAGAAGGGGCTTCGTCACCTTGCAGGCAGTGAGAGCAACGGGGCTTGTCTTCTGCCAGCCTCTCCTGTCTAAACTTCCTGCCTCTACCTTCAGATAAACCCGTGCCCATTGTAGCTGCAAAGGAACTAACACAATTCTTGGGGTTTTCTAACGTCCACATGACTCATTGGCAGGTTGGGCCCACAGCCAGGCTAAGCTGGGCCAGGAATGAGATGAGAGAATTTCACGGGCTGGCGAGTGGCAGCATCCACGCAGAAACACATGATGATGTGTGTTAGTGTGGAGGAAAGCAAGGGAGTGGGGAAAGCTCATGACAAACGCATGCAAAGCACATGCACACACACACATGCACAGAGCTGTGCTCAGCCAGGCACAGGGCACTGCAGATCAATGCACCTGGGCTAGTGACACTGGGTCGTGGTGCGGGAGCCTTGAAATCCCCCTGCACGTTTCCCTGCTGGTGGTGGGTCCCACCTGTCTCCTCTTCTGGGTCCCAAAGGAGTGCCTGGGGACCTGGGTGGCATGCCTAGCTCTTGTCCATACAGGGATGAACAGTCAAGGTCAGTGCTGGGATGCCAGGCCTCAGGCCAGACTCCTGGCTCCTGTAGCCTGGACTGCACTCCACTGCATGGGGGCCTCAAGCACAGTCCATGCCCTGCCTGCACCTGCGTCATGCTCCAGACTAGTGCTGCTGCCAGCAGTGCCCACAAAACGGGGCAGGTGGGAGACTCCACTGTCCAAAATCCTCTGGGAGAGCATGAAGCCAACTCAGCAACCAGAAGCTTGCCAGACTTCGGCTTTAGGCTGTTGGGACTGGCACTTACCTCGGGGCCACTATAGTCTGACAGCAGGGGAACCTCTAAGCTCATCTGATCTGGGCTTTCAAACCCAACAGAGCAGGGCAAGCACTGAGATCTCCCCCAGGGGAGAAAAGTTCTCCGGTTATGTCTTCCCAGCTCCAGGGCACTTTACAATTCCTGCATCGATCCTAACAATGGTATGATTATCCACATGTCACTGCTGGGGAAACTGAGGCAGGGAGCTGAACTAATCTAGGGGCAAATAGGACTGAGGTCTTAGAAGCTGGCTCTCAGTAGAGCAGGCTGAAGATATCTGGAGACGGGCTGCCTCCACACTGCAAGCACAGAGCACAGAGAGAAAGGGCAGGATGGGGGACGGAGCAGGAACAGGGAGAGCGCCCGCGTGCAGTTCTCAGAGCCGTGCCGGGGGGACGGGAGGGGATGGTTACGACACGAGTGACAAGGACAAGGCATGTACCGTACCACATTCTTTCAGAGGCTCGTCAGACAAGTCCCTGCAGTCTCTATGGGAATCGCACACTTTGCCTCCGTCAATGCACTCTCCACTCTTACACTGAAACTTGCTGGGACTTTCGCACGCTGACTCTGTCATGTTGGGCAAGAGAGGAAAGCAGCTAAGTTAGACGAGGCTGGTGGGAACCAAGCAAGAACATTTAAGCTTCAAGAAGGTACAATTAGCAGCAATGGGATGGAATTAATAATTAAGCAAACAAATAGGCTGACTGTCATGCAGGGAACACTTCAGACGGGCCGACTAGGGCTATGGAGCAGTTTCCCCGGGGCAGCCCCACTCCTGGGAGGACAAGAAAGGCTGTCTCGCAAATAACCCCGCGGGGCAGAGGAGGAGCCAAACAGCCTTGCCCCGGTTGCACCGCGGGGGCCAGAGCTGCAGCTCTCGTGGTGCCATGCCAGGGGCGAGGCACACTGGCCGTACGTACCGTTGATGCAGCCCGCCTCGTCGCTGTTGTCGGGGCAGTCGTGCACCTTGTTGCACTGCTTCGTCCCGTGGATGCAGGTCCCGTCTCCGCACTGGAACTCGTCAGGGCGGCAGGTCACCAGTGCTTCAAAAGGACACCAGTCGAGTGTTAGCCGGCGCGCAGCGTAACGTGAGGGCAGTAGCTATGTACGGCTGTCTTGTGACCGGGTCACTAGGCTGCACGCTCTTCAGACACAGCTCACGGCACATCTTACAGGCAGAGCTGACTGGGTCCAGTAAAGGTCTTGGCAGAGGCTCAGTTACCCCATCTCCGTACTCTCCCCCGCACCACGAGCCACCCTGCAAATCGACTCAGGCAACACCCGTCTTGGGAGATGAGCTGGGCAGAAGCCCACAGCACCAGACAACCTAGGGTATGGCAGCCCGGTTGGGGAAGGGGTCTTTGCTGCAAGGCCCTGCCTTGAACCTCAACTGGCTGAACCCGGCCCCAGCTGATCCTGAGGATCGGGGAGAACATGGGGGGGAAGCAGAGCTCCGAGGCTGGCCAGACACGTGGGACAAAGCCAGTCCCGTGACCAGCAGCCCCAGGCTGTTCAGAGCAGACAACAGCTCCCTGCAAGGTTGCGGGTGAAGCAAGCGGGCAGTCGAACCCCACGCTCACTGGTGTTCGTGAGCGGTCCTTCGCCCCACGAGGCAGCGTGCCGCAGAGCGGCTCTGGGGCAGGAAAGACCTGGAGGAGACGGGATGAAGGCCGCTTCTCCTCAGCACCAGGACAACAGAAACCAATCTGAAATCAGCTCAACTCCAGCTCAGGGGCCCGATTCATGCCTGATGCCTCCCCATGCAAGTCAGTGCCGTTACGGACGTGCAACTCGCCCTGCAGAGCGGGGGGCTGGGAGCGGTGGTGCTCCTCTGACGGCCAGGCTCTAGCTCTCGGCGCTGCTCTGCTCTGAAAACCCCTCTGCAGTCTCCAGCCATGTTTCAAAGCTGGAGTTGATTTTCCTGCCCAGGTTCTTCCCAACTCAAAGCAAATCTTTGCAACGGATGCACTAAAAATCCCCTTGGTTCCTACCCCAACCCCGCTCCTAAAACAGACCCACCCTAGTCCTTGCAGTTAGGGTCAGCCCTCCAGAGCTCAGACTAGCGCTGCCCACCAGCACAGAGGCTTTGCAGCTCTTCAGGGGCCGTGGCCATGAGCGTGATGACCCAGGGGATCTGAGGCCCCCTCCCAGGGCATGCTCTTCCTCACATCTGGAGCAGGCTGCCTCCCAGATGTTTGCTCACAATGCTATTAAAGTCACAGACCGTTTAGAAGTCTCGAATCTAGTGCCTGCCCCTTGGGGCTGCAGCCTGGTACTAAATGACAGAAAATCATTGCCTCCAAGTAGCGGCAGGAGGTCAGGACTGATGCTAATTCATGTGATCAAGAGCTGCATGATAGAATTTCCCCAGCAATTTCACAAGCTGTCCCTGAATACGGAAATTATGGCTTTTAGATGACTTGAGATGAGCCACGAGACATCCAGCGAGCAAGCGGCAAGTGTCATAAAGCGCTGACCAGGCCTTGGCGTTATCTGCCAGTATCCCGAGAGGCACCGTGCAGATTCGGGATGACTTCATCTGACTGAGCTCCAGCAGGCAGTCGGGATCCAGCTCCAGCTGCGTGACATTTCAGACAGCAGTGACAACTGCCACAATGTGGGGTGGGGCAAACCCAACATTTATAAATACAGTGGCACAGCGTGCAGGCTCCCGGGGGCACCGCTCCCCGTGGGACATCGTATGCACAACAGCGCTCACCAAGGGACACCTTGTTTTGAGGGCAGGGGAAAAAAAAATGATCCCAAGAGTTAAGCACGTGACAGAGGTCAGGCTGCAGACGAGCGTCGGATCCGGGGAAGCTACCAGGAAGGACATGATGCCGATGATCCATTTGGCGCTGCTCTTCCCCCCATGCCGCTGCGGTGTCGTTCACGTCAGCGGGATGTTTTGCCGAGCAGACCAGGCCTGTGCTTTCTTGTGTACAGTTGGGATGAAACTAGCATCGTTACCATCCCATTAATTATGCCTAAAAATAGCCCTCGCTGTTGGCTTTTATTTCAGAAACAAGATTCCTGGAAAGAGCTTCCACATCTACAATACACGGATACGTGTGTAGGGCACCCCCAGCCAAGCCGGAGGGCGCAGGCTGGGAGGAGGGAACGACCGGGTCCCGCTGGCCGAGTGGATGCCAAGAGGCCTGGGCACAGTCAAGAGAGGGCCGAGGATCCGGCGGAAGAAAACACACCCCCACGTCTGTCCTGCTACCACCATCAGCAGAAGTTGGACCGGGGACCTGATTCGGAGACGGGCCAATGACCTTGAACTCCCACTGAGCCCACGGGAGCACGAGGCCCCGAGCCCCTTGCGCTGGGTGCCAGTGTTACACGGCTGGCTAGCACTTCCAGAGGGACCCGAAACCCCCCCAGCCTCATGCTAAACACAACCGCTGTGACCCCAAGAGGGAGCCCCCCCCTGCACCAGGCAGTGTGTGGCCCTGCCCCTGCGCACTGTGAAGCTGGAGTTAACCCTTTGGTTGACAGGGAGAAAGGAGTCACCTGGAACCTTGTCACAGGTGACCAGAGCATTTGAGTTATAAGATCCCTTCACTTGAACCCATGAGAGGGGAAGGATTTCCATCCCAACCACGTTCCTGGAGTAGAAGAGCAAGTATCAAGGGTGGAGGCTATGCCAAGGCCTGGCATGCAAACAAGGGGGCTGAAACGGGGACACAATCCAAGACGACAGCCCTCAGGATGGGGCACTCAAGCCTTCCCGGGTGCCCTGGTGTGGGACAGAGGGGCCATCTGCTTGCAGACCTCCTCGACTTGTATGTGCCAGGGGTGCAGGAAATAGCGGGCTATTTTTGGGCTTAAATCAGTAGAGCCTCAGCAATCAGTGAGCTCAGCGGCTTTATAGCCACCTTCCCAGCTCCAGGAGATGGGGGCAAAACTGCCCACCAAACACTTGTCACGTTAAACTGCCACCGCAAACCAACAGCGTTTCGTACCTGCAAGCACCAGGCCCTCCGCACTGGCATCCGCCCTCCCTTGTCCGTCCCCTCCTGCCAGCCTTGCAGCCCAGGCAAGATGAACATGATGGCTGGGGACTTTATGGAGTTGTGTCTTTATGTACAGCGGGGGCTCAACATGCCCTGGGCACCGACTGCAGCTGTGACCGGGCCCCTCCTCCCTCCACAGCTGTGAGCAAGGAGGGAAGGGAGCTCTTCTTCCCAATCCTGCTCCGAGGCCCGTGTGCATGCCGAGGAACCGTCCTGGGCTCAGTCACTCGGCTGCAAGTTCTTTGGGACGGGAACTATTTGTTCAGTGCCCAGGCGCACCCGTGAGCCCCCACGGCCCTGGCTGGCAGGACTGCTGCAGAGGATCATTTCTAGCATTTGAACTCCACACTGCAGGACTTTGGCGGCTGCCAGCCTGTGAAGGGCTCACCTCCCACCCTCCTCCTGGGCTTGGCTGTCTCTGCACTGTGACAGATGGGGTCAGCCTTTGTGAAGGTGAATCCAAGGGAAGGCGCGTGCTCCGGCTGCCCACGAGGCCTCTTGAAGCAGAGTCCTTATTACGGTGCCCAAGCGAGTTTCCAGAATGAAGTCCCTCTCCTCCAAAGGGGGCTCAGGACCACGACCTGGGGTGGTGGCACTTGCCGAAACTCTGCAGCTGCCAGTGCCGAGCAGGCAGATCACCGCCCACTTCGGCTCCCCTTCCTGGAGGTGCAGCCGTGGCTCTCCTGCCCCCGCAGGGCACTAGCACTCGCCTTTTCAAGTGTCAGCCCCGATCGCTTCACAACCGCCCACCCGCCTCAAAGCCATCCCCCAGGGCTGAGCATCAATCCTGAGCCCGCTTTAGGCCCCTTCTGTTCTACTGACCTTGTTCCCTGCGTTTCTCGCCTTCTCTTGCCCCCAGGCCTTCTACTTCTTGTTCTCCCTCGCCCTGAAACGTAGAGGAGTGGCCCACAGCCAGCGCTACCCAAGACCCTTCGCTTCCTCCTTCCCCTGGTAAAGAAGCCGCACAATCTCCGTGCTCCAGAGAAAGCTTGCCCTTTCCTTCACACGAGGCCCCTTTGCAAGCAGTGGCTGCTCGGGTCCCGTTGGCCTGGGGTTCCCTGCCCTGTGGTTTGCCGGGTGCAATATCACCGTGGACATTAACAATCCCAGGCTCCATCTGTACGAGTGGGAGATTTTCCTGCGCTCCTTGTTTGAGAGATTTTGTTTCTGCAGTCAATAGCTGCCCCGCTCCCGGCAGCGGCCATGCATCAGCACTGCTGTGTGCAGACAGCTGTGTAAATATTTTATCGTATCCCACTCTTGTGATGATGAATATTTCAGTGAAACATTTTTCTCTATCCCCCTGCCTGGGTCTCCCTGGGTAAGTGGCCAGCTGGAGCAGCTTCATGTCTGAAAATGAATGGAACATGCGAAACACGGCAACAAGGTGTTAAATGCAAAGAGCTAACCAAACAGGAGTCCATTATTTATCAGCTCTGTGCCTTTAACCAGCCAAAGTCAGAGAGCGTTTCACACCGGCTTCTTCGGAGGGGCTGTTATCCGCCATCTGGTTCGATAGATTTTGGCTTCCTGGGCAGAGAATTAATTTCTTCCCTGCCTGTAGGTTAGCATTAGCCATGGTTTCTGGCCTGTGGGGGCTCTGGCTCACACAGGTGGTCTGAGGCTTTTCATACTTGTTCCTCTTCCCTAGCTCTGGTTTCTACCCGAAGGAGCTGCTGCCTCTAATCCTGTCTCTGCCAGGTTGGCCGATTCTCATCACTGCCCCCGTTGGTGTCACGGGACAGCAGCAAACGTTACGGGAGATACCTGAAAAGCCCGGATTAGACCCCTCCCACCCCGGTATGCAGTCTGCAGGCACCGATACTCCAGCACTGGCCTTGGCCAAGCACAAAGCTGTTGGTGGCACCCTGAAAACTTTCCTCGCAGACCTCCTACCCCACCCTACCCACCCCGGGCAACACTCACGGCAGTTCTGCTCGTCTGACTTGTCTTTGCAGTCCTCGTCCCCATCGCACTTCCAGTTCAGGTGGATGCACTCCCCGCTCCCGCACCTGAACTCGTGGGCTGCGCAGGTGTTCAGCGCCTGGGGCCTGGCCTTGTAGCTGCACTTCTCCAGGGACTCGTCCGAGCCGTCCTCACAGTCGGGATGGCTGTCGCAGACCCACAGCTCCGGGATGCACATGCTGTTGTTGCACTGGAACTCGCTGGGGCTGCAGATCAGGGGCGAGCACTTTCTCTCGTCGCTGCCATCGCCGCAGTCGTCATCGCCGTCGCACACGAAGATCATGGCGATGCAGGTCTTGTTGCTGCACTGAAACTCACTGGAGATGCAGACTGGGAGGGAAAAACACAGCGGTGAGTCGGCAGGTCTCCAGCCTCGTTCCACACAGACACTATCTACGCCCGCCACGCACCTGGGAGCCGGCTCTGCTCTG